TTTGTGAACAGAAGCATTCGTGACCCGAGGTACCACTGTGCTAACATAGTGCTAAGAATGGGAAATAGCCAAGCAAATTCAGCTGCGTTTGTGTTAAAACAATGAAGACAAGGGGAGGAAATTTTAAATGGGAAAGGCAGGAGGATCATGCGTGTAAACTGCACTTGTGCGTGCTCAAATAGCTTCTTGCCATTGGATTTGGCAGCATAGAATTATTTAAACAGATGAGTGCTATTTTAGGAAATGGAAATTGTTTCAAATTTTTCCAATCTTGTCATCCAAAGCCCTTATTCTAGCAGAATATTGATAGGGTTTCAGTTCAGCAAATGCCCCTTCCATGCTGGCCAGACAGGAGCAATGACCAGTTTGAGTGCTGCTCCGTATGAGTGTTTAAGGGGCATGTTTCATGGCTGCCAGGTGAGTTTTTCAGTGACGTGTCCTGTGTTTTCAGCTGCTCTGCATTGGTCTTGTTTCCTCAGACATTGAATGGTGCATGTCAGCCAACTCAAAAAATGGCTGGGTTTGAACAACATGCTGAATCTAGAAATAACGTGAATTCTGCCTTCGAATGCTTCAGAGTTACTGAAAACCACAACTGGAACTTGGCTGGAATTTATATAGTTGCCTAATTTGGTCTGCATTCTTTTTAGTTGTTACTAATTTCAAAATTGTAAAAAAAAGCAAAAGGCAAGCATTGGCTATGATGACAGATTGACAAAACTAAACTGATAGGATGGAAGGCTTGCATCAAATACTAAAGTTTGTACTTAATCTACAAAACAAGCATCAGTAGTAAGACTCATAGAATGTTACATCACAGGCTTTAATGTAGCTTTCCTCAATGGTAGTCCTTGGCTTATGTTGATTTGTTCAGTGGCTGTTCAAACGTGCGACAGTGCTGAACGAGGGGGACTTAGGACCAGTCCTTGTAGTTCCGGCCATTGCAGCATCCTTGCAGTCACATGATCACAATTTCCAGTGTTCCCTGCTAGCTTCCCACAAGCAAAGTCAGCAGGAAGTTGCAGTCATGTGAGGTCCTCGCTTAATGACCCACATCGTCATTACTTAATAATGGCAATCAGGACTACCAGAACTGCTATCCCTGAGCAGCATGGTCACATGATGTCATGCTTTACGACCACGTTGCTTAGCAACAGCAATTACGGTTCCAATTGCCATCATTAATTACCTGTACTCTAGAACTGCTGGACTTCCACCGCCCATAATCACAACTAGAAGATGGCTATACATATTTACTCATAAGTTACTGCCATTGTGTTGCCTTCTACTTTAGGTAAATATGTAAATATGACCATATTTTCTTGGAAAAAATAAACGACAAACCTGCAAAAAGGGGCAAATCTGAAATAGGTTCATAAGGATAAAAAAATTTTAATTTATAACTGCTATAAAAGAAAAATTCAAGAGCAAAACCAATGTCATGGAATTTTTGTCAAAGAAAGCACAATGCTGAGGAGAAAAACCCAAACTATTCAACGATCGCTGGGTGCCTGCTTTCCAAGAAAGAGGGACCCAATAGAAAGACACAGATTTTTATACACTTTGGGATTCAGAGATGGGAAATCTGAAGGATCTGATTCGCGGGCAAGTTTTGGATAGGTGTTAAACAGGGGACAAGTGATTTTCTATGGTGAAACTAAAACTGCTTTTGTAATAAGGCAGCCAAGTCAAGGAATCCATTGCCAAGGAGAATAAAGTTGCATGCGAACTTAAGAATAGAATTCCCATGGTTTCTCATCTCAGCAAAGGTCTCCTCACTGAGGTTGCCCCCCTGGACAAATCCTTAAGCAGACAGGTGAAGACCCTTTCATTGTTTTAGTGTGATAGTGTTAAGAGGACTATTTCGACAATGGAAACATGGTCCTTCTTGGGTCATGCAATAGCCTGGGACGGGTCCGGTTTTACATGTGCTGGGGGGCAGGAAACAGCAGAGGGAAATGGGGAAAAGAGTTGCAGCAGGAAAGGCAAGGGGGGGGGGAAGAGTTTGCTTCATCATACCAAGAAAAACTTTACAAAACGCATATTGTAATAAAGGGCCATCCTGTATAATACAGAACATACGTGGAGTCCTTGGGGTTCTCTGAGCTTGGCTGTTTTCTTGCAAACGCTTGGTTACCCGGCTAGGCAACATCTTCAGTGATAGAATGGAGTGGGGTTTGCTCTCTGTTTATATACAGTAGTTTGCCCTGGACATATGGTCACTGTAACTATATAGCACACGCCGGATAAACCTACAGGAGGAAAGGCTTTCACCCCCTCCCGCGTACGAACGTTCCAAAGGCATCTGGCTGCTGAGCCTACTGGCGTCCTGCCTCCTCAGGGGCCTATTTACACCCCCGCGTGCATTTAGAACCTCCGCCCTGCCCGACAAGCGCTTCGGAACACCCAGGCTCGCATCAAAAAGACACCTTTCTCTTCCTCCTCGCGCAGCCATGAGAAGGAGGAGCGCGGGAAATAAAGATAGGTCCGCTTCCGGCCACCCAGGCACCGGTGGAATAGCAGTAGCCCCGCCTTCGAAGCGCCCACAACCACGTGGTCTCTCTCCTGCGGCTGTGCGTGCGTTCTCTTCCTGCGTTCCGTTTGTGCCCCTCCCGGCCCGTCTCTGAAACACGTGACTCCGTCTTTTCCTGACCCCCCTGGAAGGGGGAGGAGGGAAGGAAGGGAACGCGAAAGAGAGAAAGAAACCGATATGTCACGGAGTTCCCGCGAGATGTGACGGGAGCCGGGGGGGGGACCCGGGCTTTAATGTGCGGCTCGGCCGGCGGTCGTGAGGGGTGAGTTGGCTGTGCGCGCGCGGCGGACTGGTTTTGTTTTAATGGAGGCGGAGAGGAAGGCCGTGCCTCGCCTTGACGTGTAGGTTAGGATAACGGCTCGGGGTGTGGCTCTAGCCTTAGCCGGGCGTGGGCTGGGGGAAAGAGCCGGGACCTGGTGGCTGAGGATAGGAGAGGGAGCCTGGGGAACTGTAACATGGCGCCGCCGCTCCGTGTTTTTTTTCCTCCTTCGACCCGTCCCTCGCTCCCCGCAGCCGATGTTGGCCGCCCCCAGTGCCAACCTGGCTTCTCCTCTCGCTCGCCGTTACCCTTGGCCTGGACTCCTCCGTCTCCTCCCGTTTCCCCCGGAGTCCGGGAGCAAGAAGGGGACTGGAGCCACGGAGGGCCCGAGCCGCCTTGTCTCCTTTTAGCGTTGGCAGTGCAGAGAGAGAATCGGATCCTGTAGTAAGGGACCTTTCCTCCCTGCGGTCCCTGATGGAGGAGGCCTGAAAGCGTTGGCTTGGATGCTCAAGTGTCGCCTTTGAAGAGCAGCGGGCACGTCTCTTCCCCACTCTGTTTCCTGCAAGGAAAGAGATCCAGACAATTTGAGTTAATGAAATCGAGGACAAAATAAAATCAGCCGGGCTCTGGTTTAGGGCCAGAAGGCTTTCCTTGTTTCAACTGCTGAAGGAGGTGTGAGAGTGAAGAGGTGTAGCAGAGGCTGCTGCTGTTTAATTGTGTCACTACTGTTATTCCTTAGTGTAGCATAGATAGTGTATTCAATCAACACTAAAAGTACTTCTTCATTTGACCCTAACCATGGCATGAACTTAAAGTAGTTTTTTCTTTTCTGTCTGGTCTGTGGCCATAATAAAATATTGATTGATTGATTGATTGATTGATTTCTCTCTTCTGCTGATATAATTGTTGTGGATAGGTTCTGGCACATTTCACTGGCTATTTAATTATTGATGCAGTTAGCAATTTGATCTGCCCAGCTTTTATTGGTTCCTGGGAACTGTCATCCATGACCATTTTGGTTTGGGTTGTAAGAAATATTGGACACCTGGCTTCAGCAGAGGCATCTGCCCAAATCTTTGTTTTTGAAATGCTTATCAGATCTTACCTAAGCTCTTTACATACAGTTTTATCACTTTTTTTAAAACAAGTGTTAATCCTGTGTTCTAAAATTAGGTTTAGGATGCTTTTGAGAGAGCAATAGTCCTGTGCTGCACACAGGGTTGGTTTTATCAGGGAAAGTGAGTAGTGTTTTGCCAGCTGTGTGTTCCTGGTTCAGTCACTGTTGGGTGCATTACTGGTTTTCTACTATCTCAGCTGCCCAAGGGTTTTATACAACCATTTCCCCCCATTTTTACTACTTTTATTTTGGAGGATTCACAGATAAGCATACCAATACCCAGGACCAGAATTGTGGGGCTATCTTTGAAGATTATTAGGAAGCTGCAACTGGTGCAGAATGCAGCAGTTCACTTGCTGATGATTGACACCTGTCACAATTGAGTCATTTCATTCATCAGACAGCACCGATCAGGGTAATTTAAGATTCTAAAGGCTGTTTGGACTATCTCCACCTTGACTCCCTTTTGAAACAGAGCCAAAGTAGCCACCAATCTGATTTCCATGGGGGAAGTTATTCCATACAGTGGAGGCCATCACCAAAAACACCTCCTTCTGGCTGTCGCTGAACTCCCACTTCATACGGTGGGAGCCAGCAGTATTCCCAACCATGATGAGCGTGCTGGCCAGGCCAGATCTACCTGAGGAGTACAAGTATCTAGGAACCAAGCAATTAAGGCTTTAAAAGTCAAGACCACTGACTTGTACCCAGACGCCTACTAGCAATCAATGCCATGCTTACTATATAAGGAAATAATAAATTACAAATCTTTGGATCCCTTAGCTGTTTGCGCAATGCCCTGCAGGTACACTTGTTGGAGGAGGGCATTTTGCCTACTTCATTTCTGCTTTGGCAGCACTAGGTCCCATGGTAATGACTGTTATTACAGATGGGCCAATCACAATACTATGCTCTCCGTGGCCATCCTTTGGCTATTCCCAGGTGCGTTTAGCTACAGTACAAAGTTACAACTGAATTCCTCGAACACTCACTGCTAGTATTGTAGTACCATTCCATTGCAGCAGTAGCAATGTTATTTGTTATTTCCTAGCCAGGCTATTTCTTAACATGGGTTTAGCATGGTTTCAGACAAACACAAGCCCAGCAGACTGGAAACAAGCACAGAAGATGGGCTGTAATGAGCATTGGGAGAGCTCTGTCCTGTTTTACCTTTTGCACCCCTTAGTGCTTACCACTTATTATTAGAACAATTGACAGGTAGCTAAATCCACCATGCTAAGCATCTTAATCATGATGGAATCAGGTGGCCTATACATCTAATAAATCTGTCTAGATTTCCCCCTCTCAACAGTAAGAAGAATTATTTTTTTCCTGCTGGAAGTTGATGCTGGGTAGGAGAAGAAACAAAGCCAGAGGAGTTTACCAATCACTTTCTTTAATTTGGCCTGTAATAACTAAGTTTAAACAGCACCATTCTCTGCCCTTGTCACTGTAGGAGAAAAAAAATCAGCAATGAGGGCAGTACGATTTATGTGGTATGCTTTTCTACTGGCTGAAAGACTGATGGGTGGTGCTTTTAATTTGGAAGAGGCCTAAATTCAGATGGGTAATGTTTGAGCTAGAAATAAATGCACCGTTTAAAGTTATTCTTCATAGAGTACTCATAACAGAAGGTAAAGAATCTGTCTGCTTGATTATTTATCTATAAAGAGTATGTTTATATATGCTTGTGAAATTTATCTCACCACAGTCATGTCAGGTTTTAAAACACTGGCAACTTAGTCTGAACTGTTAAATCAAGATGTTCAGTGCATGGATTATTACAGTATATTCCATTATCTCATTACTATGGTTTTGTTCACTCACTATTTTATAATGATTACAGCCTGCCTTCTTGAGTACTTTCTGAATGTTCGTAAGCTAAGATTGCCAAATCAAGAAGAGAGATTTTCATGTGTTCTTTGGAAGTGATGTATAGTCCTCGCTTAACTGCCCTGTTTAGTGACTGTTCAAAGTTACGACAGTGCTGAAAAAGTAACTTAGCAACCAGTCTTCACACTTACAACCATCACAGAGTCCCACAGACACATCATCACCATTTCTGCACTTCACAGCATCTTCCGACAAGCAGAGTCAATGGATAAGCCTGCAATAAAATTGTAAGTTGCAGTCATGTGAAGTCTCGTTTAATGACTGTGTCGCTTAGTGATGGAATTGCCAGTCCCAATTGTGGTCATTAAGCCAGGACTATCTGTAGTTTAAAATACTCACTTTATAAAGAACTTTATAAACTTTATTCTGAACGTTATTCTGCACACATGATTTTGAAATACTGAAATACACTCCTTTAGTTCAGTTCTGTTTTCAATTTTTCTATTAAAATAAGTTTGAGCTGGTACCTGTTTACTTGGTCCCATTGATATGCATGGCCATAGGGTTATGGGTTAAAATTTTGGAAATAGACTATTTTTCTTGGGAGTAGCATAAAATTGGCATGATATCTCCCCTCCATGCGCACTTACCAACACCTTGTTTAGATTTTCCATAATTGTTGAATGTTCTTATGTTGTAAATAGGCTAATTAATGAGACACCATATATTTGGCAGAATATCTAGTTTCTCAAATTGGAGCTGTTGCCCAAAAAACAATGAAAATGTATGTGGTCTAAGGAGCTCTAGAGTCTTGTACTAAGCACATATTAATGCAGTTACTTCTGTCTTCAAAGAATAAATAAAATGTCCTTATCATCTCAGAAAAACCTGTTTCCAGGCTATGGATATTATAATAGACTCTCCAGGTTGTATGTCATGCGACTGAATAAAAGTTTCTATTTGTGTTTATTTGTAAAACAAATACTTAAGCTGGACCAAATACTATCATAGGGTGTGATAGATGAAAAGGTTCAGAGATAGGGATAAAAAAGAAACAAACCTAACTTTCTCTGAGTTCAGGAAGTGAAGCCAGAAACTAACCATTTAATACTAGTAAAAGCTTGCTAACATATCATGCTGTTGCAGAAACTGATGTAATTTAATGGCCTCAAACAAGGTACGCATGAAATCTACTTAACAAACATATTTTAAAAAATGGCTTGCTGTTTAATACATAGTGTATTAAGAAGGAAATATAAACAAATTTGATGAAAAGGAACAAAAGAAAATAATGGGAACAAAATATCATTCTTTCTCCTGTCTGTTAATCAGTTACTTTGTCATGAACTTTTAGGATTGATCTGCAAATGCACTAAACTGCTGTTAGATAGTGCCTACAAAGCTATAGAATGTATGAAGAATACTATATCAAACTATTTCTAATAGTTCACAAGACAATCAAGATCTGGTTAAGGCTGTGCTTAATGGATTGCACTTCTTTTTGCAAAACTGTCCCCTGTATGCTGAAAACTGCCTTGATGGTGAATGAAGAAAAATCATTCTTTTTTTTATGTTGAAATAGTATTATACATTTTTCTACAATGAACTTTCATCATATGGCAGAAATATAATGTGCCAACATTTCAAGCTAACTATATAAACAAAATAAAATCTGATGGGTGTGAATACTTTGGTGACACAAGTTAATTCTGTTTGAATAGAGTTTTGCTAAATAAACAAGTATGCATGAAGTTCCAGCATATTTGTGACTGTAGTAATTTCGGCACTCTATTAGTGTTGGTATTTAATATGTTTTCACACTCTGAAAATAATTTTTAGATTTAAAGTCTAAAGTTATATGATTTGTTTAGCCTTGAAAAAGGTTTGATGAAAAAAAACAGTTAATGTACAATGTATTGTTTTCAGAATGTGTCCCTTAACTTGGAGAATCTCAGGCATTCCTAAATTAGAAGATCGTTAATGGTGAGCAAGTTTATCTCTACATTGCTAAAAGTGCTAGAGAGTTTTCAGGGATGTGCAAGAGTTATCGGCG